AGTCTTTTTAGGTCCATGGAGCAATAATAACATAAAAAAGTAAATATAATAAAAATAAAATGATTTTTTTTGAACTCCACACGCCATAAAAAGTACAAAGTGATAATATCGCTCCTAGTGACAAATCAGTTACACAAAAACGCTTCCTTTTCGAAATTATGTTCAGGACAACAATGGCTTCCGAATGATATTTTAAAAATTTCGTCAAAATTGGCTAGCTAAAAAGTGGAAATTTGTCTGAAGAAAAAACCCACCCAGAGAACAAATATTCCGTTACTTTCGTTAGGAAAATCGGAACAAGAAGACTTTTCATATCAGGGCGAAGCTCTGATTGTTCCGACAGTCTTTTCAGGTCTATGGAGCAGTAATAACATAAAAAAGTTAAAAATAAAAAACATAAAAAATGATTTTTTTGAACTCCACACGCCATAAAAAGTACAAAGTGATAATATCGCTCCTAGTGACAAATCAATTACACAAAAACGCTTCCTTCAATGAATTTTGAACAATTTCTAGGACGGATTGAAACTCCGTTCACGCGTTAATTGCGCGTTAATTGTTTCAAATTGACAAAATAGCAACCTTTAAACCTCCATATTTTTACGAAAAATGATCACAGATGAAATATTTTGAATGATAAAAAAAGTTCCTAAAAAAATGCTGGTTGAAAAGTGAATGATATTAAAAAACTTCCTCAAAAAATGCTGGTTGAAAAGTGGAATTTTCTGAAGAAAAAGCCACCCGAGCGCAAATACTCCGTTATTTTCGTTACGAAAGTAAGAGCGATTACTTTTTCTTCATGATAATCTTCATGAACAACTTTTTCTATTTTTTTACTTTCATTTCCTAAGATGTTGCACCGATGAGAAAGATATGGAAGAATAGCCATTTTTTGTGAGCAAACAGGCATAAAGTGGATTTAATGCCTGAGTTAAGCATGTCCGGTCGGACCAAAAGTCGCTTTTTGAATGAACTTTTTAAATGAAATTTTCACAACTTCCTGAAAAATTTCTCATAATCAATTGCTTTTCTTACATGAAATATTAAAGCTAGGAACATTTCGTACAAGATGTTTGCAGAGTTCAATAATGAAAAATCCACTACCGTTTAATACCGTTTGAATGATCCAAAAAATTCCGTCAAAAATGGCTAGTTAAAAAGTCGAAATTTGTCTGAAGAAAAAAAATCCACCCAGAGAACAAATATTCCGTTACTTTCGTTAGGAAAATTGGAACAAGAAGACTTTTCGTATCAGGGCGAAGCTCTGATTGTTCCGACAGTCTTTTCAGGTCTATGGAGCAGTAATAACATAAAAAAGGTAAATATAATAAAAATAAAATGATTTTTTTGAACTCCACACGCCATAAAAAGTACAAAGTGATAATATCGCTCCTAGTGACAAATCAGTTACGCAAAAACGCTTCCTTTTCGAATTTATGTTCAGGACAACAATGACTTCCGAATGATATTTTATAAATTCCGTCAAAATTGGCTAGCTAAAAAGTGGAAATTTGTCTGAAGAAAAAAACCCACCCAGAGAACAAATATTCCGTTACTTTCGTTAGGAAAATCGGAACAAGAAGACTTTTCGTATCAGGGCGAAGCTCTGATTGATCCGACAATCTTTTCAGGTCTATGGAGCAGTAATAACATAAAAAAGTTAAATATAATAAAAATAAAATGATTTTTTTTGAACTCCACACGCCATAAAAAGTACAAAGTGATAATATCGCTCCTAGTGACAAATCAATTACACAAAAACGCTTCCTTTAATAAATTTTGAACAGTTTCTAGGACGGATTAAAACTCCGTTCACGCGTTAATTGCGCGTTAATTGTTTCAAATTGTCAAAATGGCAATCTTTAAATCTTTAAACATCCATATTTTTACGAAAAATGATCACTGATGAAATATTTTGAATGATATAAAAAGTTCCTCAAAAAATGCTGGTTGAAAAGTGAATGATATAAAAAACTTCCTTAAAAAAAGCTGGTTGAAAAGTGGAAAATTTTCTGAAGAAAAAGCCACCCGAGCGCAAATACTCCGTTATTTTCGTTACGAAAGTAAGAGCGATAACTTTTTTCGCTGGCGAAAAATTCATAATTCGCTGAAAATTTTTTCTTCATGAACAGCTTTTTCTATTTTTATACTTTCGTTTCCTAAGATTTTGCACCGATGAGAAAGATATGGAAGAATAGCCAATTTTTGTGAGCAAACAGGCATAAAAAAGGATTTAATGCCTGAGTTAAGCATACCCCGTCGGACCAAAAGTCGCTTTTTTGAATGAACTTTTTAAATGAAATTTTCACAACTTCCTGAAAAATTTGTCATAATCAATTGCTTTTCTTACATGAAATATTTAATCTAGGAACATTGCGTACAAGATGTTTGCAGAGTTCAATGCTGAAAAATCCACTAGCAAATTTAAAAAGTTGTCCATTTTCTACATGATCTGAACAAATCAGAAATTTTCTTAGCACAACATACAAAACTTTCTGAACTAATTGACGTGATCGATCAAAATACTCGTTTAACATGCTCCAATTTAAAACTCAACCCTTACACTTGTTCGAGATTTCTTGTCAAACTCATTTATCATATTTGCATCTGATTTGTTGCATTAGAAAAACAAAATATTATATTTAAATATATTGTAACTTTAGAACAAATACATTGAAAACGATTCAGGATTTTTTTTCATTCTATATTTTTCGAAAACGTATTGCTCGAGCTTTGCTAAAAATGCATAATTTATGTAGACATCAACATGCTGTAGAATTTAGGGCTTCAAATTTTGACCCAAAAGAAATCATAGGAGTTCAATGAAATAATTTTAACTTGTGCTAGACAAAATAAAAGAGCAGCAAAACACACCAATGAGTCCAATACAATAAGAATTACACGGGGAAGCCAAAATACCTGCTCTCACATTTCGAGTAGCGATAGACTCTAATGGGTAAACCCTATGCTGTAATGAAAAATTGCTGTCTTAGAGGTATAATAAAGAAGAATGCTTGTATCAGGGCAAAACGTTGATTATTCTGACCGCCGATTATCATCGATGAAAAAACTATGGTTTTTCAAATTGTTTTTTTATTGTAGAAAAATGGAAAAATTTCTTTTTATTTGTATCACTTTGACTTTTTTTAAAAATCTTAAACTCCAAGCGCCATGTAAATCTCAAAGCGACATATGCTGCGTCTGGTAGTGTATAAATAACAGCAAATTGATTGCGTCAGTTCAATTTGGAAAAAACCAATTCGCCGCTTACGCTTTAATAGGACAAAAAAATTCAAAATTATTGAATTATTTTGCAAAACTAGTCCAAGAAGCAACCGATCAAAACTTGATTACAAATGGTCGCAGGTGATTGTTTTTTATTTAGAACAGTAGATAACATAAACTTTCAGATGGTATAAATATTATTTGCTCAAAAGGTTTAGTTAATATGTCAAAATTTGTCTGGAAAAAAAACCCGAGCAAATTCTTTTCAAAAATTTCAGAAAAAATTGGAACAAAAAAGACAATTAATTAAATTTTGTCACGCATTTTTAAGCTGATTTTACTATTGTGGGTTGAGAAAACGAATACTTAAGTTTTTTAAAGTCTAAAATGAGTTTAAAACGTATGCAAAGCAGTTTAATCAAAATTTGTACTGAGTGTTTTTTAAATGAGGCAATTCGAGGTTCACAGTTCCAAGCCGATAGATTTTTCCTTAGTTTTTCATTTCAGTCAACCATCCCGGAGGTCAATAGTTCAGGTTGAAAAAAGCGCATATAACCAGCGCCCATTTAAGCTATGACTTTTTTCCAAGAGCTCACCTTGCAAATGCAGCACACGCACAATCACATGATTGCTTGGCACAATCACCACCGGAGCGCCACAACGCCAATAGCAGCACCCTTGTCCTACATGTTCAAAAAATAATTTGGATGATAAGAAAAAATATAAAGTGCTTTTGCGATGTTGATGAGGTGAGTGTGATGAAAAAAAGCACCCTAAGGTATGGGAAATAAAAAATCAAGGTTCAAATTGAGCATTATAACTTTCCGATAGGTTAATTGCTGTTGAAAACTTTTCGAGCTGGATATCGATTTTCAGTATGCTTTTAAAATTGGTTTCCTTAACTTTCCTGAAGCTTTAGTGACTAAAGCTGGAAGAGAACATTTTACGGCATCGCATTGAAAAACAATTTGATATAAGCACTTTCAAAAAATTTTTCCTCGTATTTACAGACGAAACAATTCATAGAAAGAGATTATAATTATCAGGGTCGATACTCGCGGGCAATATTATCAAACTTTGATTGGGTTTGAAGTGCAAGAAAGGTGCTCTGAAATCTTCCTACCTTGGTGGTACATTTGTTCAAAACAAAGTTGCGACTTTAATTTGATCCGAGTGCAATTTTTGCAATGCTTTCTAGACTAAATCACTTCCATATATTAAGCCAAATTTGATTTAAGCCAGCTTTGTATTTTGCGGAGTTACAATGAAAGTTGTCTCCGCCCATTTTTCTGGTTTGTATGAACAAGTGATACTAAAATCGACACATAGGAATTTAAAACAGGTTTTTCTCGGAATTTAATTATATCAAGCAGCTGGTTTTCATGAAAACGAAGCTTAAGCGGTTCGTTTTTAAGACCGCGCAGGCTCAGTTTGAGCCCAAGAGTAAAAGTTTTAAATCCTAACGATTCTATAAAGTTATGAAATGTGCAGAATTTAAACTCCTTTAGGTCTTTCTTCCCTTTTTATTTTCACGGACTTAAAAACTTTCTCTTAAAACTTAAAAGTGACTTTTCTGCCAGGTGCAATTTCCAGTATTTAAGCGAAAAACAGTTTATTAAAATTCAACAATTTATAGTCTTTATGCTCTTGTGAATTTTCACCAAATATATAGAATAAATTGAATGAACAAATAAGTAGTTCACCTCACTGAATTTTGATTGGACGGTTTCAGGCACCTTCAACTGGGTTCTTTTATTCAGTAGTTAACAGTTTGAAAAAGTGTAAATGTCACAATTTTATTTTTTTTGGATCTTCAGCAATACTTGCATTTATAATTCTGTTATGCTTTGTAGTAATTAGTTCACAAGGACATCAAATGTTCGTTTGACTGTCGCAAATTTTCAAAAGTCGAACGCAACTTTGATTTATATGTTTTTGTCGGATCTTTTTTTTTTCATTTGAAGACTGCGCAAACATTAGACTAGACTAGACAATTTGTTTATCTTTTAAGTAACCAAAACCGATTATTAAACAAAAGCATTAATTGTCAAAAATACTTGACGTAAAAGCTTTATAAAAAGGCCTTTTTACTCACTGTTTTTTTGATAGTTTATCATGTCAACAACGATACATAATTTAGCTTTGGTGCTAGTTGCAGTTTCACTGGCGAAGTTAACAGTTTATGGTGAGTTGAATATCAATCAAAAATATTTTAATCGATTTTCAATCGAATTTCATTCGTTTGATTCTCAATATAGTTTCACTTTTTCAGCTTCTATTACTTAACAAAACCTATTAAATCACATAGTTATTGAAATCGCTTGAGTTAATTGTACTTAATTTAATTTGCTGGAAAAGGAAACTCGAAAAAAAACAGTATCTTTTATTTTGACTTTTTTATTGACACAAGGTTTTAAATTCCAGTTTTTCCTGATAAACTTATGGCTTTAGTGGGTATTAATCGACTGGCCAGATTCTTAATCTTAAAAAACAATCTGCAGACTGTTGAATTGTTAATCTGTTTTTACATTTGATTTGTTGCTAGAACGATTCCATTTAATTACATCAAAATTTACTAGAATAAAACGAGACAATGTTTTGCAGCTAAAGTTTGCTAAGATTGAAATTGCATCACAAAAATTAGTGTTTTAGGCAGATGCGGATATAGGATTTTCTCGAGGGGGGGCTGACTTTTTTTAGGTCGACCAAAAAAGCATTGAAAAGACTCTGTTTTGGTCAAATTTCTGCGCTGCAACCAAAATTTTTTAAAAAAGGCCAAAAAAGCATTTTTAGGAACATTTGGAAAATTTTCACCAAAAAATCTCGCTTTTTCGGAGCGCGCTCCCCCTCGCAAAATTATATATTGGCGTCGAAGGCGCCTTTAGAAAGTTTTTAGACTCCATCACCAAATATGGATATCTCAAAATAGTACAAAGGGGGCATCCTTTGGGCTTTCACGGGGTCGAATCCCTAAGAGAAGGTGTCACCCCCCCCCTCCCCCAAAAAAAAATCCGCCCCTGGTTATAGGATATATGCGTGCGCTTACCAGACCATCAATAACATAATGATTAATTTGTTTGACATTTTGCGGAGTTTGACTAAGTATGTTCTCCAATCTAACTCAAATGTTGGGCATTTTCTTATTGGAAAACCATGAGACTTGACAAACTTCACGCTAAAAATCAAACATTTGGACCTAGAATGTCATCACGTGATTTTATTCAGAGTTTCCTTAAAAAATTAAGATAGAAGTCTACCTCAAATTACCAAGCTATAATTTCTGTTTTTCATATTTGGTTTTTTTTCTATGCTCAAACGCAATATTATTGCGAGATAAAGCTCTTTTTGATTGACAAACTTGAAAACAAACCAATTCTCTTCCGAATAAGAAACCTTGGCGGAACCTTGCCTTCTCAAACTCAAAGCACATCTTGCTTAGTATAATAAGTCTTGCCCATTAATGACGGTAAGTTACTATCGATCTACAATATAGTTGGCGGCAACCTTGATGATAGCTCATGAGAATGCAGCCCTTAGTTGCATGGGAAACATTGTAATTGCCATCTTTTCTAGCTTTTTTGAATGATTTTTTAATCTGGGACAATATTTTAGTTCGATAGAAATTTTTTATTGACGCCGGTTATGTAACCGACAAAATTGGTCAAGCTGTTTCGAAAAGTTGGTTCAATGTACATTGTTGATCTGTGATATTTTAAAAACTCAAATCTGAAATCCACGCCCAGAAGATCAATGCAAGACAGTTTTGAGTTTTAAATTTATTTAAGAAAAGATAGTTTTAACTAAAATTTTGCAAAAATGGACAGAAATGGGTTAGAAAAAAACGAAATGACTGCTGAATTAAACGATTGATTGCGATTAAACGTGTGATATCCTATGAGGTAACGCTATGGAAAACTAATTTGTAATTCAAGATTGTAATAACTTTGGATTGAAATAATTGTTTTTTTTTCTTTTGTTTTTATAGCTACTGAGAGTAGTCCAGCAGTTGTTACTCTGAGCTCTCAGCTACGTGTCAATGTCTCTGATCTGATGACCTTGGACACGACTTAACAATAATAAACATTATTAGCACTGAAGGTTATAGTGACATCATCCAATTACTGCTATTGCAGTGGCAGCATGACATACCCCCTCGAGTGAAAATAATTGTTTCTGATTTAGGGAAAAAATTTATAATATCAAGAGTTTTAAACACTCCGTTCTTTTAAAAAGTTTGTGATTTGGATTGCAAAATTTTGTATTTCTTCAATTTTCTATTAGATCAATTCTCCAGCTGGGGTTCCAGTCCACTCCTTTGTCTAGAGTAGCATAGCCAAACTTCCTTCTGAAAAGGTGTCTCTCTAGAAGGCCCAATTTTGATTCCACTGGCCTGTCCCCTTTTTCTTTGAGCTTTGTTAGACGTCTTCGATACTCCTGCAGTGCTGCTTTTAGTAGAGCTCCACCTGTTAGTTTTTCCGAGACCTTGAAAGAATGTTTCGAACTTTTCGTAAGGAGGTTCGAATTTTTTTTCCCGTTCAGCGGCTGGCTGACTTTGTCCCCTAAGTTCGCCGACTTTTTGCACTCCCCTCTTGAGAAGTTGGTCCGCCAGATTTTCCCAGTCTGCCGGTGCCAAATTCCTGTTATGAAAGGTGTCCTGAATATCCTCCGGTCTGGTAGTCACATCGATTTTTTTTTCAATTTAGCTTTCTGTTTGTTCTTAGGCGTGGAACTTGATTATACGTCTTTGTCCGGGGTACTAATTGCAGAAGCAGTTTGTTTTGTCGATGTTTCTGGCTGATCGACTTGATTCTTGTTTCTTGATTTTTTCTCTGTTTTCTTTAATGCGACTTCCTCCTGAGTTTTCGGACCGGCTATCGAACTAGATCCCCCTGTAGCTGGTTTAGCTCTTTTATTGGCTAGATTTAGACCCCACCCTGATTCGATATCTTTTGAAGTTTTGACTGTTTGGCTCTGTTGAAATCGGTCAATCGGATTTACAAAGTCAGCTAATTCCACCGGCCGTCGCAGTTCTTCATCTGAGTCGATTTCCTCTAGAGTTTCTGGAGAGTTGATTCGTTGCAACTTCTTTTGTGGTTCCGCCGATGGGCTTTTCCTTTGTTTTTGGTCCTGTGGTAGACTAATCTTCGCCTGAGCGATATCCGATTTTCTATAGATCAACCCTGCCGACGTTTTTACTGTTGAGTTTGATTCCGTTACTATTTCCCCTTCAACGGTTTTGTGAGCACCTGACCACTCTTTCGTAAATCGTCTTTACGCAAAATTGTCTTTTTCGGCGACTGTGTGCCTTCTTCTTCTTCTTTGTCCTCGTTGAATCCTTTTTCCCAAGAGTAGATTATTTCTTTCCTTAGCTCCGGGTAGATTGTCCCGTTTTGTCAACGTTTTCAGATTGTGGTTTTCGCAGCGGCTCCGCGCTCTTCGTTCCAACGAGCGTTTGCCTCTAATAGCTCTTTGAGGGCTTTTTCTCTCTGACGGTCTCGATCCGAGTGCACTTGGTGCTCGTACGGTGGGCTGGTGTCCCGGCTGAGGTCCCCCTTTCTGACTATCTTTAAAGTCTCCCTGGATTGATCGATCGTCCGTTTGAGCTGTGATGCTGTCAGGGCCAATCGTTCTAAGTGCTGATCGTCTGAATAGTCAGAATTAGTTATAAACTTGTCACGTAAGATCTTAAATTAATTTTTCGGCAGTCTCCTAAAATATGCTTGGAATGGAGATACTTGAATAGCTTTCTGCTTGTTCCACCGTAAGTCCACCATAATGGTACTAAGGCACAGTTTGATCGGTCGTTTGTTTTCTTCTAATAACATTACCCTCAATCTTCGTTTTATAGTTTGTTCGACTAAAACGCAGCCCCGATGATTGCCCACGGGACAGAATTTTTGTTCAATACTGTGTTCAGCACAAAATGTTTTATGTGTTTTCTCTTTAAGTCCCGAAAGTTGGTCTGATCGTCTCGATTCCGGAATGCCACGTGGGTCTATGTAGAATCTCAAAAATTGTACCGTACCTTTTCTACTTGTTGATTTAGTGACTTTGACCGATGGAAATTTCGAGAAACGATCTATAGCAACTAGAAGGTAGATTTTTTCCCTGTGGTTTTCTAACGGTCCCGCATAATCTAACTGGACTTCTTGACCCTGCTGCGTAAGCAGTAGTAGTGGTTTTGATGCGTTTTTCGGAATGAGATATTTAACGTTCTGACCATATCTGGTGCAACTACGACACTCTTCCGCTAGATTCACTATGTCCTTATGCATATGCGGCCACCACAGATATTGTGAGACTCCCAGCATGGCTTCATGACCCGGATGACCCCGCTGGATTAGCTTGAGCCCTGCTTGTCTCAAATGCAATGGTACTGCCAGCCTGTCGTTCACCAGTATGCAGTCGTCTTGTACTGCCATCTGTGACCACAGCGGATTAGTATAGGGTCCCATCAGCTCAAATCCGTGTTTGTCTCCCCGTTCAATGACTCGTCTCGGCCGATCCATCCAAGTGTCCTCTGAGGTCAGTTCTGCGAGAAGGCTTTCGTCAAACAATTTTGAGAGGTTATCTAGTGTATCTTCCGTTTGCTGCTTTTGAAGCTTTTTGTCTTCTTTCGGCTTATGTGCTTGTCGTTTTGGTGGTTCTATTGCACACACTTCTTGTGCTTCGTCAATTTCGTCGTTTCTCCATTCTTGTGGTGTGTCGGACCCCACCAGTCGTAAAAGCGATTGAATTTTTCTGACATCATTTTTCGTAAGTCTCTTTTTTTTCTGATTTTGATTCGTTGAATTTTTTCTGACTGTTTTTGCAGTTTTCTGGCAAGACTATTTGTTGGGTTGAAATTGAAAAAAAGTGATTTGTTTTCTTGTGAGCTGCTGTTTAGCTGTTTCGATGGTCGCGAAAGTTGATTTAGCTCGTTCGGGTCAAGCTTTATTCGTTTTTGACTGTTTTGGTTGCCATAGCAACCACAAAGCGATGACTTTTTCGCCACATTCCTTCTAGAACATTCAAGAAGGTTTTCGTTCCGGTTGAGCCGCCCAGTGTTTTCTAGCCTACTGTTCATGCAGTCTAACGCTTTTTGAAAGGAGTTGATTGTTGCTACAACAAATTTTTCGTCTAATTCCGATTCGTGCCAAGGATCTTTATAAGGATTACGCGATAAATAATCGACTATGCCCATGTCCTTTCCTGGAATGTGAAGTAATATAAATTGATAGGGCAAACATCTATCGACCCATCGGGTCAACCGAGATTGATATGCTTTATTTGATTTGTTCCCATCTAGGGCTGAAGTTAAGGCTTTGTGGTCTGTTGCGATGGTAAATGCCTTACCCAATAAATAATGCTTGTAACTATCAACTGCCCAAACAACTGCAAATAACTCCAGTTCGTTTGTTGCGTGTTTTTTTCTTGACTATTTAGGTACCTGGAGGCGAATGACATTGGTATCTACAACCCTTCATCTGTTTGTTGTTCTAATGTAGCTCCCAAGCCATTGTGGCTTGCGTCACATTTTACTCTTGTTTCTCGATTAGCATCATAGTAGTGAACTTTTGAAATGTTAGCTACTGCGTTTTTTAGTGGATTAAAAACCACTGTGTGTTCATCCCCCCACTCAAATTTTTTTTCAGGTAGTTTCATATTCTTTAACTTTTTCTTTTGATTCTCCTCTTTCGGGAGTGGACGTAACTTCTCTGTTAAACTTGCTGCATTTAGGATGAATTTCGCAAGATGATTTATACTACCCAGAATTGGTCTCAATTGTTTTAGCGATTTCGGTGGGGTAAAGTTTAGTATCGCTTCTGTATTTGTAAGTTTTGGTCAAACTCCCGACTCTGAGAGATAGTGTCCTAACCAGTCGACCTGGTTTTCGAAAAATTCACATTTAGAGAATTTCAAAGCTAGATTTTTGTCATCTCAGTTTTTATTACTGTCTTTACTAACTTTCCGTGTTCTGTTTTATTGCCTTTTGACACAATGAGAATATCGTCCAAAAAACAAAAGGTGTTTTTTGCGTGGTTATTTGATTTGTCCGTGGCTTTTTGGTATTCGGCTGGTATATCTGCCAATCCATAAAATCCTGTAAGGAACCTATAAGTCCCGGTAGCCTTTCCACCGACGGTTTTGAACTTACACTGTTTTGCCGTGTCTGCAGCCAATTTTAACTGACTATATGCATACTTCAGATCAAACACTGTAAAGTATAGTGTGCCCTCTTTGTTTTCTGCAACTATTTGGCTTACCCCATCAAAGAGTTCGTCTACATTGGGCATTCGATATTTATTTTTGGACAGTTGTCTGCTTATTGGCTTTGCATCAAGCGCCAATTTTATCGAATCATCTTTTTTTACTGTAATTACAATTGGAGCCATGAAACAATCGCTTGTTCACTTGTCCAACTTTGTAATGTGACCCTCTGTCAGCACTTTTTCATTTTCTTTCTCCACCTTATCTTGTGTTTGGATTGGGATTCTTCTCTTTTTTTCTTGAATCGGGCACAACGGGTACAATTTGAGCTTACAATGTGATTTTTCGAAATTCCCTGTCTGACAAAAAAATCACTGAATTTATTAAAGATTTTGTTTTTCCAACCTTCCGACTGCTCGCACATGAGCACGTCAAACCTTGATAGATCTTTTGGAGCTGGTTTCTGGGTGGTTGCGATCCCAACTTGTCCTTGTAGATCCAACCCCAATATGCATCTGGTTCTCCTTTTCGTCATCAAAAACGTGGCTCTTTTTACTTTCCATCCTGCCGAACGTAGGTTTGTCATCAACGCCCCCAACATTCAAATCGGTTGTTTATTATAATCTACGAACTGTGTAACCAAGTTTAGTTTCTCGGACGGGATGAATCTTGCTTTGTTCGGTTTATGGATTATTTCCTTTGTCGTCGCCCAATTCAGAAAAATTACCGGACTTCCAGTATCTACGGTCAATTGAATGATTTGATTATCTATTCTCACCATGGCCTTCAGTGATTTTACTTTGTTTAATGTTGGGTCTCTAAATAGGTCAATTTATGAACTCTCACTTTTCCCCCAACGAGTTGCTTGTTGTTTTCGTTGATTCTATCCCCCACACATTTTGAGATTCTTTCGGCTTCCGGCCGATGTGGTTGTATGGACATTACTTTGAAATCAGTATATGAACCGAAGCTTTTTCTTATAAGATCGCTTTCCTCCTCCGATCTTTCCGAATCTTCCGCAAGCTCACTCACTTGTTGAGACCTGCACATCTTTGCGAAATGATTAGGTTTCCCGCAGTTTTTACAAGTTTTACCTAATGCCGTGCAACTCTTCAAGTGCCCCTGATCAAATGCCCTTCTGCATCGATTACATGGTTTTGCTCTTCCACTGGAGTTGTTCAATCTGTTATTGTTTGGTCTTTTGTTACTATCTCTTTTATATTGTTGATTTCTTGTACTTCCGGAAGAATTCCTGACAGCCATCACTGGTTCTTGTTTTATTTTCACCCCTGAATTGTAGCTTGTGCTCGCTGCTACATTTGCTGCTGCATTCGTCTTCTGAAACGCATTTGTAGTCAATTTGCTTTGTTCGATTTTTATGGCTTTCTATAGTACCTCCTCTGGTTCTAACGTTTCGAATGTGAGTGTATCTTGCAGCATCATGTTTTTCATTTTTGATATGAATAAATCTCGAACGATTTCTTTTTCAAGTGCTTCCAATTCTGACCTGGCTCCTTGCGCAGTTAGCGCCGCGTAAAATGCCTCCAACGTTTCCCCTGGCTCTTGCATTCTTGTGAACAATTTGTATCTTTCGTATTTTACGCATTTAACCTTTTAAAATGAAACCCAAGCTAACTCTGTGATTTCCCTAAATGAAATTTTAGAAATTTCAGCATGCGGTTTTTTTCTGCAAGAATCTTTGCTTTCCTTCTGTTTCAAGCGAGAGAAATAATCTTGATTCAAGCTTCTTCTGTACCTCGTTATAATAAGAAACATTATGGCCAACCATTGGGCCCCGTGCTCTTCTCTCCTCATTCTCTAGCATCACGCGATCTAATTTATTGCTAATTTATCTCTGAGATTTCTGCCTGTCGTCGCAGCTTCGTTTTCTCCCTCTGGTGGCGTCTCTGGTCTCGGTGGTGGTTCTTCTAGAATCTTTTTCGGATCCTCCAGCATAACTTCTCGGTTTACATTTTCTTTTTATGTCACTGCCATTAGAAATTGTTCGAACCAGATTTTAAATTGCCACGGTGGATCTAAACTTGCTGTCGCCCAAAATACTGGTATACTGGAGCTGAGAATCCTGCTGGCTGCGTCATGTGATATCCTATGAGGTATCCCTATGAAAAATTATTTTGTAATTCAAGAATGTATAAGCTTTGGCTTGAATTGATTGTTTTTTGTTTTGTTTTTATAGCTACTGAGAGTAGTCCTCCAGTTGTTACTCTGAGCTCTCAGCTGCGTGTCAATGTCTCTGATCTGATGAACTTGGACACATCTTAATAATAATAATTAATAGCACTGAAGGTTATAGTTACATCATCCAATTACTGCTATTGCAGTGGCAGTTCGACAAAACGTAATGATAGCTGAATTAATTAAGTTTTTGTTCCGACTTTTGTAACAAAAGTAACCAAATATTTGTGATCGGGGTGGTTTTTTTTTCTTCAGACAAGTTTCGACTTTTTAACTGGCTTTTTTGGCGGATTTTTTCAATATATATATTTAAAAAAGGATTGACCCCCTGAGCTCGTATTGGAAAAGATATTTTACCTGTGATCATTTTTCGTAAAGTTATGGGGGTTTAATTATTGCCATTTCGGCCAATTTGGGACAATTAACACGCAATTTTTTTCCAATTATAGTTCCAAATTGGTTGAAAAAAGCTTTTTTTTTGCCGCAGTTGTTTTGTTACTAGGAGCAATACCTATCACTCTCAGTTTTAAATATGGGGGGATGTGATTTTCACAGATTAAAATCTCAAATTTTATTTTTTTTTCCAAAAGTTACGCCAGAACTACCGGATCAATTACTGTCAAAATTATATCAAAATGAGCTTCCTGTACAGCCCGACAAATTTTATCAAGGTATACTCCCTAAAATTGCTTAAAAACACTAAAATATACTCCATACCTTAAAGAAGTTAAAGAAATTATAGTGGGTGAAACTCATAAGTATCATATTAACGGCATGTTTCGTTATCATATTAAAACAAAAAATTAATTATTCTGATACAAACGATTTTTTAGTTTTTGATTTTTTTAGGATCCGAACTGGCTGAAGACGGAATTAACCGTTTATCCGGCTCCGCATCGACAGGGGATCGAACCTCATTGCCTTCATTGCGGACTGAGAATGATCAAAACAGAGCAAGAGGGGCCGCGTGGAAATTGCAGCAGAAGCTACTCTCCGAGTATTCCCGAGTGGCTCGTCCAGTGGTTAACAACTCACAGGCTCTAAACGTTTCTCTCAAATTCGTCCTCAACCAAATTCTACATCTGGTCAGAAAAATACCATAGTTTTTATGTTTTTTAATTCATTTTACTTTATTTTTACATTATGACGTTATATAGTATGGATAGAGCCTGTAGCTTCAAAATACTTTGTGCTCAAATTAAAACCCTCAAATAAAGCTATTCTTCTTCGGTTAAGCATTATCAAATTTTGTCTTAATTAACATATTCCCCGCTATTAATGATACGTTTTGTTCAGTGTTCAGTGTTTTTTTTCCCAATTTTTTTCCCAGGTGTCTGTTAATTGTGGTTCGATCATTTTTTCGAAAAAAAAAAATGATTTTTGCGCTCTGGTTTCACCGTGTAGAGTTTTTAAATTTACATGAAGAGTTCGTTTCATGAAAACAATGTCAGCAAAAAATTGGGCTGAACAAATTACAACAAACTGCTTAGTAGAGCGAATTGGAAAACAAGAGTAACTGGATGCCGTCGAAGCAAAAATTGTCCGATAAATTTTTTTTTCTTAAAACGGGAATTTTTAAATATTTTTTCTTCTTTTTTTCTGCACGACGGCGGGCGTTTTAGGAGTTTGAGCATTCGTTCTATATTTAAACATTGCTTGGCAGACCAACTCTGGCACGTATAATTCTTCTGGCACGTTTGGTGAGCCAAAAGATTTTCATTTAGAGAAGGGACGGCGGAAAAACGCAAGTTTTGAATTCAATTTTGCAAAAACGGATGAAAAATAACCTTTCTGGCAACTTTTCTGAGCTGTTTTTAGAAAGGTAGGTTCTTTTTAGTAACTTAGAAGAGCTCTGCAAAAGAAAAAAAAATCAGAGAGCCTATTTTCGTAAGAAAACTGAACCGAAATTCAAAAGCAAATATTTCCATTTTTCATTGACATCAGATGTTTTGTAATTATACACCCGAGATATTTTTTAATCACAAGACTTCGTTTTTGTAAACCCGCCTGTCAATCCATTCACGGAAATCTGAGATCCGCCCGTACTACAAGCAAACTTATCTCAAAAGCCCTTATCAAAAACCTAGATTCCTTACCCTAAAAATCAACACTTGTCCAAGTGTTAGGACTTTGATTTAACTTGGCACTTCGGGCTTCGCTTAGACTTATAGCTGTTCAATTTTCGTATGCAGGGTGGTACACTCTAAAAAAATATATTTGCCCCTGAATCATGTCTTTTTGAATCAGAGCGGAAGTTTTTCAAACCCGTATGTTTTTAAACAGAAATCTCATTTCAATGTGCAACTCTCTGTTCTTTGAGTTATTTAATCAAATAGACTCACGTGAAACAGCTGAAAAATTGATGTTAAGAGCTCCATGTTTGAGGTTGAAAGTTAGATCTGTTTTAACATAATTGTTTTTTTTTATTTAGGCGGACAAAATAGGTTCTCGATCCTTCCTTACTCCTTGAAACGATCTTATGTTGCCTCATGATTTTATGTATCAAAGTTACAATGAAATGCATTTTCTTCCAAAAAAAATTGAGTTTCTTCATTTTTTCCTGGAAAGTTAGGAAGTTGAGCATGACCAGCACAGAGATTTTTGAAATGCTTAAATTGTGAAAAATTGGTGCAAAAAAGGGGCTTAAAGGGACTAAATATAAGAATTGATCCCACACAATATGGTCCCTTTTCCTTTCGTAATTATAATAAGCGGTATGGAAGTCAGAAGATTTAAGATTCCCCCGTAAGTAGAGTGGAGCCAACACCACTGTATAATTTGATACGTTTATGGCTCTAAAAATCTTAAAGCAATGAAATCTGGATCTTTGTTTGATCATAACCTGCCCCTGGGCCTTCAGTCCCAGCAGGAATGTGCAATAAACAGATTGAAAATATATGAGACACAGAATTTGTGCTCGTAAAACACTTGTCCAGGCGGGACTTTGTTTTCATTTTCAGGGTTTTTATTTCACTTTTTATGTCCAGCAGACCAATACAGCCAAATTAATTCCAGTCTCTCGAATGGTCGAGGCAAGGTAAACTCTTTAATTTATTGTTTCCTGACCTTAATGTAGTTTTCAAAATTATCAAGAAGGTAGCTTTATAGCTCAGTTTCTGCCTGGAATTGTTAAGCCTGATAATTATATATATGTTTCGAGATTGACGAAATTTGAATGCTGGATAAAAGTTATTTATGTCTTGTTATTTTATGGTTGCTTAGCTTTTTTATGATAGTAAAAACACTTGTAGATCATGGCAAATAAAAAAGAGGACACCATGCATGCAAGAAAACTTTGCACACAATCACTGGGTTTTGAAGTTTTAATTTTAAAATTTTTTTAAATCAGATTTTGTTTTTGTTTGTGATGACGTTGCTGCTTGAAACAGTCCGAAGAACGTCCGAAACGTTCATCTCCTAGCTTTTATTTGATGTTCCGATCAATTAAAATGAGGAGGATCTCTGTCTTCGGGTATGTTTTAGTTTTTTTGTTTTTCACGCAAAATCAGGTACCAAAAACAATCATCGGAATGGCGGAATGGATTGAGTGAGAAACCAAAGTGAAGTCTTTTCAGTCGTGAAAAACTGGTTCGAAAATTTGATTTTCTAGTTCACTTTTGAGCGAATAATGCGAGCGAGCTGCCATTCAATAGCTTATTTATGTAAGCCCTGAAAAGTTTTTTTTTCGCAAGTAAAGTTGTTTTTTGGAGTTTTTTAGCGCCATTTAACAAAAAACCTGCAAAATCAATTTTAAAATATCTGCAAAACATAAAAAAAAATGGAGTGTTTTTCTTGCCTTTTATTCCGATCATTTTTCTACAAAACCGTTGTCCACTTTTCCTATTTTACTATGACTATTCTTTCGTTATGTTTTTTAATACTCTGGTCGGAGCACTCTGCGCTAAAAGCACAGTAAGCGGCTTTCCTAGCTTGGATTTTATATTTGCCAATTTTGCTTCTTCGGACTAAATCAGCTCGGTCTTTGAGCATATTTTTTACTCAATACAATTAAGTTATTTTTTTTCAAAGAAGTTGAAACAGATTCTTAATTTTTTATTGACTCAGATTACTAAACTGGTTTAAATTTTGCTTTTTTTTCACTAAAATTCAGGCTCAATTTTTTCATGAAATGGTAAGCACACTTGTCCAATTAGCTCCTCGACGGTGAAATTTTCTAAACATGTGAAATTTTTTAAGTTTTCGTTTTGAAAAACATCCTCACAAAGCTATGCGGAAAAATGCTATTTTATCCCTGCAATAACGTTTCAAACGGGACAAATAATCTGTATCGCAATAATTTGTAATAATATGCGAAGAGGAATTTCTCGTCAACTTTGCTCTATCAGAGCTCTAATGGAGCAAAAAAATTTTCACCGCCATTTGATAAATCAAAAACGGCAAAAAAAATTTTAGACATATCTGCCAAAAATTGAAAAAAAAATTGAAGGGGTTTTTCTTTTCTCTTTTTCTTTTCTTTTTTTGAGGAAAACCCGTAATCTTTTTTTTACTTTGAAGTGACTAATGAATATGTCTAAACTCTAGTATTACCAAATCTTTTTACCAGTCAGCGTAGAAAAATCCATACTTATTTGAAAGAACAAAATTTTTTTGATTTATTTTGAATGCTCTGGTCGGAACACTCTGCGCGTTTAGCACAGTAATCGGATGTTCTGGCTGGGTTTTGGTAATTGCCAATTTAACTTCTTCGGATTAACTCAAATCACGCTTTTCGCTTATTTTGTACCCAATGCAGTGAAATTGTATTTTCTGAAGACCATCCCTATTTTTGAAGTAATCAACATTGTGAACAGTATGGAAAATTTACCAAAACTGCTTGTTTTATGCATATGCTTTGATTTTTACCACCCCACTTCGAGATAATTTGTATCTAGTTTCTCGCAAAGCGTTATACATTTCATAAACATTGCTATGCTTTGTTCGAAGTTTTTTTAATTTTTTGTTTTGAAAACATCCTCACATAGCTATACAGAAAAGTGACACATTATTCCAGCTATAACGTTTCAAATGGGCCCGATAATTTGTATCGCAACAATTTGAAATGATATATATGTATGTATGTATGTTTCCTCTATAGATATGTAACAAGACTGCTTGTATCAGGGTGAAGCCTTGATTGTTGCGACTCCATTTTAGAGTCTATGGATGTGTGTCAGTGATTCTCTTTAGCAAAATGGATTACATTTCAAAGAAAAGATAAAAGTTCGAAGTACTTTTGAGAAATTTTAAAATCTACCCCCACACGCTAAGTTAGTTACGAAGTGATATCCGCTTCTTTATGATTCTTGATATTGACTTCTTCATCACAAATTAGCAAAATCAGTCTTTTTCAAATCACCCATGATTTTCTAACAAAGAGCCCGCGAACGAATTGTACATATATTCGGGCATAACCTGAAACTTTCAAACTCCAGTTTAGGTTCTTAGGAGTTGTGCTATTGTTTCGCTTTGCAAAATGGATTAAATTCCCTAACAAAACAAAAGTTTTAAAACATTTTTTGAGACTTTTTAAAATCAACCTACACGCTATCTTAAGTACAGAGTGATATATTTTGCATATAGCGAAGTACTAAATAGATCAAATAGCTCATCTTCATTCAAATTGAAAATATTTCTGAGACTTTATCAAATCTCCCTTTTACGAGCTAATAGCACGAAGTATATCGCGCGTTAATTAACCCAAACTAACCAAATTGCGAATCATTGAAGTCTTATAAAAAATTTTAAATATATTTTTTGAATTTGAGCTCAAGACAACATTATTTTTCGAGTCAAAGAAAAATTGCCGTCAAAAATTGCTAATTAAAAAGTAAGAATTAAGATCATTTATCCACGGGGGAAAGGACCAACACAAGAGCTGTACAGCTCATCACGGCGAACCGCTGTTGTGCCCCTGTTTAAGAACTACATGCAATTATTATTTTTTTTTGGTTATTTTTCTGGGCTGGGTAATGTTGCTTCACCCGCAAGCAACAAGCACGGATCATGGTGGTCCTCGAACATCCGACCTTTCGATTGAGAGGCGGAGACGTAACCACTTCACCACCGCTCCCCTAGTTTCGAGAGA